CTTTCTTTGGCACAGACTCCCTCTGTGAGATTGGACAAATAATTTGGATATTTAAACACTTTCAAAACTCTGTCCCTGAGCCAATTCCCCATCCATAAAATATGGGAGCTATAGCATCAACTGTTTGGATTATGGGAAAAATATATGTGCTTAAATTGAAACACTCAGCAACACTGGAACATAATTACATAGAAAGAGCAGTATTCCTCTGAAAATAATATATTGTGGCAATTGGTTGAACCCCCAGGACTGGAGTGTTTAAAACTAGAGAGATCAACATAGGAAACACAGCAAATTATCTCATTATGGTCTTTTCGTATGTGAAGAGGCCTACAAGAAATCTGAGGAGGAACATGGACGTCTAGTGACAGGCCAAAGAGGAATGGGTTTAAACTGAAAAAGAGTAGGTTTAGATTGGGTATTAGGAAGAAATTCTTCCCTGTGAGGGTGGTGAGGCCCTGGCAGAGGTTGCCCAGCAATGCTGTGGCTGCCCCGTCCCTGGAAGTGTCCAAGGCCAAGGCTGGATGGGGCTTGGAGCAACCTGGTCTGGTGGAAGGTGTCCCTGCCCAGGGCAGGGGAGTTGGAACAAGGTAGTCTTTAAGGTCCCTCCCAACCCAAAACAGTCTGAGACTCCCTTCCCTTAAAGAACAGTGGTGAGGTATTGACTGGCCTTTTCCATCTCTTAGCGCTGCAATATGGAATGTTGCTGCTTGTAGACACAGTAACTTTTTCTTTTCATCAGCTCTGGATTTTTTGGCCACACAAGAAACTGCTTGTGTGAAAATTCCAGCAGAAGGCGTCTCCACCGAGTACAAATAAGGATACTGTCAGCAGCACCAGCATGTGCCTTTTCGCACTGTCCTGCTGGTTGCTCCCACCGACTCTGATGGATCTGCTCTGCCCCTGAGAGCACACTCTGGCTTTGATTTTCCTTCACCCCTGTTTCTGCAGTGGGAGGAGGCTGCCAGGCAGTTCAGGAGAGGTTTCATTCTGAGATTGGTGCCATTAATTCATTGCAAATGGGTAATGCAGCTCTTGGGTTGGGAACTGGTATAAATTATTGCTAACACGATGTTGATTCGGACAGATGAGCAGTGGGAGCTGGGATTGCTTTTAAAGCAGACACAGGGGGATTATGTAAAGACTTGAAAGCCTGTAATGGAAGAGGAATGAACTTGCTGATCCAAAAGCTCCCTTGCAGATTTATAACCTAGCACCAACTTCTGCAGGTACCTTCATGGAGAGTCACAGAGATAGTGACACTTTGTCTCCAGATCAAATCCTGGCTGACATGGAATCCATGTGGTGATGTTTGAGTTGAACCCCAGGGTGAGTGGCTGAGCAAGGCTTGCCATCTGAAAAGTTACACCTAAAGTGCCACCTCTGCTTCTCAGATGCACAGCCCAAATAGCTGTAGAATTTTATTGTTTGGATAAATACCCACATCTCAATGCTGACTGCTGCCCCCTGGGAGACTGAAAGTCCCTAGAGGCCCCCAGAGCAACTCATCTCCTCTCTTCTGGATGACCCAAGCTCATTTCTCGTGTGCATTTTTAAGTGCAGGGCTCCTGACTATGAGGTGTGTGAACACTTTGAAGCTGATTCTTCTCCTCTTGATCCATCACTCACTCTGCTGACTGAATTGCTTTAACTTCTCTGCTCGGTTGCATGGAGCAGGACAAGTGCCAACCCTTCCCTGCCAGGATTTCTGTGCTTAATACTGAGATAAGACTAAAATCCTTGGTACTTTTTTTTCTGGTGGTTTTAATAATAAATAACTTTCCTTGACACTTTGCTTCAACTCATGCCATGCTTTGTGTCAGATGCACTCCTCTCTGGAGAATTTAAGGAGGGCATTTCAAAGGAACCAGATGTTTAATCTTTCTTGTGGAGTTGGCTGCCACATAGGAGCTAACTGGAAATTGTGAGGTATTTTACACTTGAGAAATGCTTTCCAATTCACAGTCTTTCTAAATCAAAAGAAAGCTGTGTATCATATAAACTAGAAAAAGAGCAGACTTGCTGCATGCCATCTCTCTGTGTACTCTTTGCAAAGATGGGCCTTTCCTGGCAAAATGTACTCAAGATGTTTATGGAGTCCACAGAGAAAAATGATCCCTTGAAATGGAAAAGTCGAAGTTTGCATGCTGTAGACATCCCGTGCTGCTCTAAGTTGTTTCCAGAGTTTTAAAGGGATCTAGTTGCTGACGTGAAGAAAAGCACCCCTTGGAATTTTTGAAAGTACCAAAGTGTGTGCTAGTCAATGTTAAGCACGTGCCTGCTTTTAGGAATCTCACAGCCACCTCTGTTTTCCTTGTCCTCAGAGCCACCTCTGTTTTAAGGCACCAAATGGCTACCAGATAGTGTTCTTATGTCCTCAGCCACCCCAAAGAGGTAACAGCACAGCCCTACTTGATAAGGTGCTGTGACAATAATTCTATCAATGCTTCTCCTTGAATACTTCTTGATCTCTACTCTTCCTTGGGATTCTGTTGACCAGTTGCTGTCTGATTTAGCAATGTTTTGCTTTACTTGACTCCTCCCCTGGTCCTGTAGGTAGCATTCAAGTGGCGGTGGTACAGATGCCAAGATGGAAAAGCCATATCTCACTTCTCTGGGCGTGCTTTCCCCTACTTCACACAAATGTTTAAGTAGGGTAGTGTTGGGTAGTGTCACTTTTTTTAAGAAAGATGCAGGTTCATCCAGCCTGTCTTGTGCCCTGGAGATGGTCACGAATGCTGAGAGGTAAAGGAGATATTTATGAAGAAGAGTAAGTCGGTAAATTGAAAGCTTTTTGCTTCATTTTCTTCACTAGATGCCTATCAACAGGTTACTGGGAAGCAGTTTGGCTGAAAAGTGTATAAAGAAAAATGTTCTATGTCTTTTAAATACTTATCAGGTCCTCAGTCTGAGATACAGCAATAGGACTATTTTTGGAGGGTGCTGAGCCTATATGTCCTTTTGGGTGCCTCAAATTTGGCACTCAGAACTGCAGTTCTCCCTGGCTGTGGTTTGCAGAATAATCTCTGTTCTACCCACCCACTCTACAGACTTTCTGATATTTCCCTGGCACAGGTATCCCCCTCATTCCTGTCTGGTTCCTACTAGGGGATGTGTTTTTTTGCTGCCTTCCAACTTTTGCCAATTCAGTTTTCACTAGAAACCTCTGTGCCAGCTCTTTGATATTCAGAAGCAGAGGGGTTTTCTGTCTGTTTCCTGACCTAGCATGACTTCTAATAATGCAAGAACTTCAGTGCTGATGTCCTGGCAGCCTAATACAGGAGGTCAGTCTGTAAATCTAGTTACAATTTTCTTTGCCTCAGCAAAGACAGTAAGTCAAACGTAATGTAAACAAAGTGGTTGGATCACTTCACCCACTAGTAATGTGGTGGGCGATGCAGGCAAATTTAATGGATGCGATTAAATCTCCTGTTCCAGTCTGGCAGCTGATTAGCTGCAGGGGGCAGGCAGGAATTTCCTTTCTGATCCAGAGCTGCCCTCTTTCCAAGTTCTCCTTCAAGCTTCTGCCAAACATCTCAAAGTGCTTTGCATTTTTAATTGCGCTTCTTCACGCCCCTGTGAAGGGTGGAGATGAGAGATAGCGTGATCCAAGTGGAGCCCTGGGGAAACTGAGGCACTGGGAGGTGGCAGCCTGCTTGGAATGAGAGAGGAAAGTGGTGTTACACTTGGAGAAAGGGGAAACAGGCATCCGAGAAATCTTCTCTTGAAGCTCATGTGGGTCTACTGAACTTGTGCCTAGTGCTCAACAGTCTGTGTCTTAAGCAGTCTGAAGTCTTGGTTGTCTGCTAGGCATTAATGTATAGTCACTGACAGGAAAAAGAAATCTTTCTCCTGTGTAAATTTTAATTTATTTTTGTCTTTCATCACTCAATTCCTCTACTTTTTGAAGAGAATGACCTGCATACATATTTCGTCTCTTTGTCTGGAGAAGCACTTTGCTCTGAAATAGCTCCTGGTGTTGGCTGTGGCTGAGGAAGAGAACTGGTTCAGCTTCATAGATGACTCCATTATTTGTCCCTACAGGGGAAATGAGTGAATTCACTGTGTGGATTCACCTTCAGTGGGTGTACACTGAGGTAGCTACACCAGCTTTGATTTTTTACCTGGTTGTACAGCTGAAGAACTGGCCTTGTAAGAAGGAGAAAACACTCCTGTTATTAGGGCATGCTTTGGTCCAAAGAAGAGACCAGAGACATCCAAAAAATATGTCATGTATTAACCCATCCTTTCATGTGTATATTGCTCATGCTGTGGCTGACAAAAGAGAGAGTAGTAGGGATTAGCTGAGTCTTCATGTTCCTCAGGATGGTGAGAATGGAGAATGGGCCTTTCCCATCTTACAGGCTAAAACTCAATGGCAAACAGTATATTTTGGATCTCACAGGGTGTGAGGATTTCTTATAGCAGGAACTTATTTTTGTGATGGATTATTTAAGCTTTATGGTTTCACAGGAGCAGCATCCTCTAGAGTTTGGTTTTGTGAATCTGGGGTGGACGGAAACTTCTGATGTTCAGTCTTGAGCCAGCAGCTTGATGGCTGAGAGAAGCAGAATTTCAGGCATAGCTCCCATTGCTGTAGGGCATCCTGTCCAGCCTGCTGTCATGGTAGAAACAGAGAGCTCTAACTGGAGTGCTCTGACGCCTAGAGCTGAGGCCAAAGCCTGGTTTACTAAGCTCTATTTCAGTTTCTGAGATGAGTGTCTAAACAGAACATCTGAATCTGATCCTTAGCCTAGTCTCAGGGCTTATTTGTAAATAAACAGTATCTTAATCACTTTATGGTTTCCAGCATTCTCTCGTTGAATGTCTCTGTGCTGCCATATGGAGAGCATTCATCGTAGTGGAAAATGAGTGTCTGTTTGGGCTGCATGTGTTATAATTAACTATCAGCTGAGCCTGTAGCATGATGTGACAATTCTTATTGACCAGCTGAAATGACTCACTCTAACAACTGTGCTGTTCTTGCTCCTCTCTTTCAGTTCCCAAGAAGCTTCTGCATGAAACTCAGGCAAGACCAACTAATCAACAAGGGTATCAGAAGCCACATTTTCCACTGCAGCCAAGAGTGTTTGACCCCAATGTTATAGGGGACGGTGTGTTCCTTTCGGATGTCTCTTCTTCCAACATAGAGCGAGCTCTTCCAGGTATCTGTGACCATTGTTGTGTTGGCCCAAACCTAAGAGTGTTGTGGTAGCTGCTCCTTTCCATCTCCTCTTTTTTGGATTTCTGTATTGCTTCTAAATGCCATCCAAGTCACAGTCAGAAATGGCTGTGACAGCTTCAAGATGTGACCAACGGCTGGCTAAAGTGAACTGAGAAACTGTTCAGGAAATGCCAGGTTTCTTGGAATAGCAGTCATGGCCATGCATGTCCAAATTAATCTCAGAAATACTTTCCAGACCTGTCTAGTGGCTAAATAAATAAATAAAAAAAAAACCAACAGGGCAGAGACAATAGATCTGCCTCATGGGACAGAGAAGTTTTCAACTGAGCTTTGAAATACAAGGCTATTTTCATAAAATGCAAAGTGAAAAGATATGAATGAAGTCAGACCTTAGCCATCTCTAGGGACAAGTGAGTAGGAAGAAGGGGTGGTGTATGAATAAAGGAAAAGCACAGGTGAGCACGTGTTGGGTTCCTCGGTGGTTTTGTGTTGTTTCCCAGTATGCAGGAGATGGTTTACAACACTACTGAAAATCCCAGTCTGTGCTCCCAGAGATTCAGCAGCTTGAGGGGTGGGTATGGGTAGAGCTTGTCTCTGTCTACACTCCTGGCAAAGTTAATCCACAGCTTGGATTGTCAGTTCACAAATAAATAAAAACTGGCAATAACAGGTTTGTCAGTTTGGATGTCTTACTGAAAAACTGTCAAGGAGAAGAGTTTTAAGTTAAGACCAAACAAATATTGGGATCCTGGAGAGTCTTTTAAGTGAGGAAAAATATCCTGAACTGATTTCCACTCATCTAAACATTTTACTTCTATGAATGACACCTTTTGTTTAGTTTTCACATTGTTTATTCATTCATTTTCAAAATATGCACCACTTTTCAAACAAAGATGTCATTTTGAAATTAAAACCTAGAAGAATGTTTCAAAAATAACAAAATACTTGAAAATTTCTGTAGTCTCCCTTCCTGTTTTATTTCTTTTGTTAAAACTATTTGCTAACATCAGCCTGATATTGTGAATAACCTCTCTTGTGCTTATACTGTGGTGTTGGGCAAATTTACTGCTGGCTGAAAGAATTTTGTTCAGCTTTGGTGTAAACTCACAGAGAAGCCGTTCAAGTGACTGGCAAACTAAGAAGGAGTGGTGAGGAGAAAACCAGTAGTAGTGAGCTGCTTAGACATTGAAAAGTCTTCAAAGCTAGCAAGGAGGAAAGGGAATATCTTTTTGTATGATCCTGAAAGCAATGGCAGACCAGGGAACCACAAAGTGCAGCAACACATAGCCCTTGTGAAATCGTGTGTGTTTGTTTTTTCTGTTCTGCATAAGTCCAGTCATTTTCTGTCTTCCGTGTCTGTGCTTGTACAATCCTGCCAATGATAAAACCAGTTCTGTGGTTTTGTGGTGCTCTTTGCTGGAGTTTAGTGTATGCAGGGCAGTATTAATTTAAAAATGTTTGATTGCATCTGTTCATTTGACAAGTTAAACGTGAAAAAAAAAAAAAAAAAAGGGATTCTTCTTACATCTCACATCTCGAGAGGAGTTATCCCTTACTCTGCCTCCTGAAGACACTGTTGTGGCATGTGGTTTATAAGGGCTGCTCCACACCCAACAGAGATGGTGTCCCTCTCACATAGGAAATATGTATGAGATTATTCCCTGATGGTGCCCTTCATTTTCCTTGATTGTGAAGGGATCTTACATTAATTAGTTCAGAGCCAGACCTCAGTCAGGAGACATCTCGGACAGGATTCAGTTATCCCCATATTTGTGATGACCTGGGTGTTCACCTGGCTTATAGAAGGGTGGGCATTTCCCCTGCATCCCTTCTTACTTATACCTGCCAACTCTGCATGGATGCCCTCCTTACCCTGGGGTGTCTTAGGTGTTTGTGTATGAGACATACATCAAGCTTCTGCTGCGGGGAGAGCTGAATGACTCTCTGCTATCCATCAACTAATAGCAGGATTCTCTTGCCTTAGTTTAGATACATGGTGCTACTTGAGATGCTCTGAAATATCCAAGTTTTAGGTTCAGTTCTTAGATGTTAAATATTTATGCTGTGTCTGTGGATTTCCTTGGGATAGCGGTAGGGAAAAATTTGAGAACTTGTACAGGCAGATTTACCAGACAGGGAGGATAAAGGAAATATTAGAGGGCATGTTAATCTGAATTAAAAAAAAGTCTGAACTAAAAAAAAATTTGAAATGTTGCTATTGATTTCCTGCCAAATGTGCCCTTGGACCCTCTGTGTCCCTTTTGCACAAGGGATCTGCAGTGACCTCTATTCTCCTAAAGCTCTTGGGGTATTTTACACTTTGGGATATGACACCCAAGCACTCATGTTTAAACACTTTGCTTGAATCCAGTCATTAACATGGTGGTAACCTTGACCATGTGGCTTTCCCAAGGTCATGCAGCTACTCAGTGGCAGAGGTACAGCTGTGCCCACATTCCTTGGGGCTGATTCCTCACAGTGACACCTGGACATCCATCCCTGCTGGTTCCCCTTGAGGCAGATTAGGAGTTGGCATCACTGCACAGATTCCTGCCCTCAGTCCTTCTCCATCCAGTATTACCTGTTCTCTTTGACACCCCTCACTTTCTGTTGCTGCTTCCTTGGGCTGAGCTGCTTCCTGGCACCCACAGCAGGAAGCTGAACGTGATGTCTCGTGCTGCTGGGTTTGCAGGGAAAGAAGATGGGTCAGGCAGCCAAGGAACAGAGACATCTCACATCATCACTCCTGACAGAATGCCTTTGCTTGCATGGCACTGGTGGCATCACTGGAGATGGAGCTGGCAGTGTCCTGAATTTAATACCTGCAGATAAGTGGAAGCCAGGTGGAAGTCTGTGATTTTACGGTGATGTTTGCTTTTGGCCAGAACTAGACACCCAGAGAAGGGAGCCTGAAAATCTATGATAGCTACAGTTAAAAACTCACATGGATGATGGAGCTGAATCCTGTGCGCTTTTTCCTGTGTTGAAAATAATTACTGTTCTGTGAGTAGTGAGTAGTGGGGGGTGTCTGCCTGCAGATCAAGGTGTGGGGAGCCCTCAATAGTGAGCTGAAAAGGTCTGAAAGGGTCTCTTTGAGCCTCCTGGAATGAACTGCCTCCTTAGCTCTAGTCTCCCACAAATAAAATCAAATCATTAACCCATGTTCACTCACCTCTCCAGAGGGGAAATCGTGTCTGGGTGAAACACAATACGAACAGGCTTCTGAAGGAAATCATAAACTCAGGTCTGCCCTTCCCCACGAAGGCTGGAGAGAAAGCACGTCTGTTTGCCAGGTGTGGATGGATCACTACAGCACCACACCAGCAGAGGGTTGGGGGTTCTGCCTGTGTTTTCTAGTCTCCCCTACAAGCTTAGCTGAACCCACTGTTGATAAAGGCTCCTTTGATTTGCATAAGAGAAAAGAAACCTCATTGTATATTTGCTGTAGCATAGGTGGGTGTGTCGAAGTGCTGACATGAAAGAGGAGGAGATGGGGGAGAGATGATGATGCCTGGATGCAGATGGGGTATGTGCTCAGCTGAAGCTCTTGAAAAGGTTTAGTTATCCCCCAAAAAGGGGAAAATTTGGGTGACTCCCTGTCGAGTAGCTCCAGATTTCTGAGCACAGATGCTGACCTGGTGGGGATAAGGCAGGGTAGGGCTGGGTCACGTTCTACATTCCTCATTCGTCATTCCCTTTCTGTGTCAAAGCAGAGAAGAAGAAGGAGAGGTCAGCCACTTTCTACCCTGTAGACAACACCCCCCTCCTGCTCCCCGTGGATGAGACAGAAGCGCCGGGGCTCAGCAGCAGCAGCAGCAGCAGCAGCAGCATGGAGCCCGTGGGTGTCGGTGCGGAGATGGCCCTGCTCAGCAACATCCTGGCAGCCTATGCCTTCATCACAGGTACTGCACGGCTCACACCTCCCTCCCCGGGCTCCTGCCAGCTTTTTGCAGACCCTCCTTCCATAGTCACCTGCGGCTAAATCTGCCTCTCTGAACTGTTTGTGTACTTCATTCTTCTCTCAGTGAATTCTCCCTTGAAAGGCCTGACCCGGGCAGCTCTAGCAGGCAGTGTATAACAGAGTTTATTGTGCACGGCTTTCCACTGAGTCTGCTCTCATCTGGAGTTCAACACAATGTAATCTTACATGTGGTATTATTCCTAATGCTTCATTTTCCTGGAGATCAAAGCCTAGCTCATTAGGGAGGCAAGTTTGTTGTCCTGTAATTTGCAAAATAAGCAGCACTCAAATCTTTACACTGCTTAAGAGAATTTGGCTTATCTTCAGTAGAAGTGTGAAGATGAAGTAACTTGAGAATCTACTTAATTGTATATTTAAATCTACTTTAGAGTAAGATTTCCTTGGATCACAGCATATCTTTCACCCACGTGTATCTTTCAAGTAACGGGGGAGCAGTCTTCTAAAAAAATTCACTTTAAAAGGTGAAAGAAAAGTGACAGAACAAGGGGGAATGCCTTTAAACTGAAAGAGAGTGGGCTTAGATTAGACATTAGAAAGAAATTCTTTACTGTGAGGATGGTGAGACACTGGCACAGGTGGCCCAGAGAGGTTGTGGCTGTGTTCAGGTGTTCAAGGCTATATTAACTACAACTCCAGCATTTACGAGCTACTTTTTCATGCCTGCCAGCTAATTCAGTCTTGCTAATTTATTAAGCAGTGTGCATTCTTGGTGCCATGCTCTTGCTCTTGCTGAGATGCCCCCATGCTGTTAATCCAAGTATTTGGATTTGAAGCAGCTAACTTGGGCTTTGCACTTTGGAACCACTGAGTAGTTTAGTGAGAGTGTTTCTGCATATTATTTAGTGAAGGATTCTTCTAAAACGACCATGAAGGGTTATACAAATTTCTGCTCTTCTACACAACCAGAGCTGTCATCAGGATGCATTTTTTCATGACAGCCCTCAGAGTCAGGCAGATTAAATGGAATTAGTATTGTTCATCACAGAAGACAGCTGAGTGGGATAGATTTGTTTTCTTGCATGGGTATTTCCAAGGAAAAGTTAAACAAACAAGCTTTAAAGGAGTCTTCTGTCTATCCCACTTCTTGCCCCTTACCTACAGCTACCATTTTTTTCACATAAGAACACCTACCTTCCCATCCCTACTATAAAACAAAATGCTGCTAAATGTTGTGTTCCCCATCTGAACAGTAATGGGCAGAGAAAGTTGTAGGATTAATGGTCCAGGATAGTTGGGACTGTGATTCCGGGCTGCTGACAATGCTCCATGGACTTTTCTTTCACTGACCACAGCAGTGCTCTTTGGCTCTATGTTGGTTTTAGGGCACAAGGTCTTGATTCATCTCTGTCACAAGAGATCAGCCTTGGTAGGAGCCTCCAGATTTTACTGCAGCACAAACAGTTATAACTGTGGGATTTGTCTGCCCTGTCTTGTTGTGGTTTCCTTATGTGGTGTTCACATCCACTGGATGTCAAATAGGTAAACTCAGACCTCAAAACTTTGGTTTCAAGTGCTGAGTTCAGGACTTGGTTGCTTATGTTATGGAACCATATAATGTTTTAGGCTGGAAGAGCCCTTAAAGAACAGCTGGTTTCCATGTCCCTCACCATGGCTGTTAGATGGGTTTCAGTCTCAGTGACATTATGTCCAGTTTGTTATTTATTATAAAAATATTTGATGACTGATCTGTGAATTGAAACAGCAGATGTCCTAAGCCATCTTTATCTGCTGCATGTAATTTTGCCTCTGCTTTTCATGGAAATGATGGATTTGTCATGATTTACTTTGTTATATGTGAGTATGGAGATGTTTTAGCTTGTGACTTCAAAGACAAACTGTATCACAGGGCGCAAATATAATTTACATAAAACTAGAGCAAAGCCATTTCTCTTCACAGTGTATATTTTGAACAGCAGAGCAGTTGGATTTTTATTTTTTTTTTGTGCCTGCCTGAGTTTGGGGCCCTGAAGGCACCTCAGGCCACAGCTGATGTCCATAGAGGATCCATTATAGTGGCTCAGGAGAGGCAGGGTATTGAGCAGCCAGGGAGGGCTGGTTCTGGGTCACACATCTTCCCACTGCTCCTGACCACAGCTCTGGTGCCAAAGAGAAACTGCAGTGCAAGGACTGCTCTGTTCCATGACACTGAAAACATGCCTCAGGTGCTCTCTGCAGACTGAAAGTGCTGCATTCAGGGTTTCTCCATGCTGATGAGTTGTCTCAGAATAGGAATTTGCAAAATAAAATTGTAAATAGGTAAAGGCAATATAAAAGTATGTTTTTTCTCTTGGGGCAGAGAGTGCTGAATACCCTCAGATCCAATGCAGGGAAGTTTTGCTATTTCATGGGTAAACTGCAGGTTTGAAAGGAAGATCCTCTCTACTGCCTTTCCTCTCTCCTGGCAGTGGGGTGTTTTTTAGCCTGGGGAGAGCATCCAAAAATAGTGGGATCCCTTCTGTGCTCAATGGTGTTCACATTTTCTTCACAAAATGGCAGTTTTGGGTAGGCAGCTGCAGGTGAAGAGTGTGCAGGCTCAGTCACTCACACATGCAGAGTCTTGCAGTGCACAGAGAAATGCCAGTATTAGCAAAAGTCTCTATGCTAATTTCCACCATCTTTTGGACTGATAGTCCCATATAAGAGCTGGGAATCTTCCTATGGGATAGGAAGATGAATAGTAAAAATCAGAGCAGGAAGCAAAAGAGGCTTGATTTGCAGCTATCATGGTTAGATATCAGAGTCATTTACGTGTCATTCTCATCCCAGGTTCCAGAACCTATTTCTTCAGAAACAGGGAAAAAGTGTGAATAATGTCAATGAGGAATGAAATTAGTAGCTGATCTAACAGATATTATTTAGAGTTCAGTCTTGCCAAAGACACAGAGACACCCTTTATTTGAAACCTGATTTTCTTTATAGACTTAGGTTTTTAATTAGAGGCTATCTCTGCCTACAAACCTCAGATCTGTTATTTGTTGTGGACCTGTTCCTGAGTGTTTGGAAAGTCTTCATGAGTCTCAGTGACAGCTGGAACTGTCTTTGCAGTCACAGACTATCAGCAAGACCAGAAACCTCCCTTGTGGTTATATAAATATTAAACATTCAAAATGTATCAGAGCTCTTCCAGGGCCTCCTTTTGGACAGGAGACTTATCCCAGTTTTGTCACTCCATTTAGGACGAAGCAGTTGGAGGGAAACCTCCACAAATTCCTGTTTTATTCTTCTTTCATAAGCAAAGCTTTGCTGCCAAGTTATTAACAAGGGGCTTCCAAAATACAGCCCAGGGGAGATCATTCCAAGTTTTAGGCTGCTTGGCCTGAGCCTTATTAATAAGGGGCTCCTGGAGAGCTTCCTCTGTTATGTCAGGGGATTTCAGCAGCCTGTGGGGCTGACTGCAAATTCCCTAGAAGATATTGCTCCTACTGTTTGTCTGGCTGTGCTTAATGCTGAACCTTTTACTGGGGGCCCTCTGAAATTTTCCTCCCCACTGAGGTTTCGGAATGCATGAAGCCATTACAGGAAGCCAGCAGCATTAATGCCTAGATTGTTTTTTATTTATCGAAACAATTTATTATAATAGCAATAACAGCCTTGGCCTGGGGCATTTCCTGGGGAATTAATGGCAGTCTGGCCTGATGCTCCCAGCAGATTGTTAGCCCTCAGGAAACAAGCTCCATAATTGCTGCTGGTTTGGTTGGAAAAATAAAATAAAATGTGTTTTTAATTTTTTTGTCCAGTTTGAGTGCCTAGGAAATGGTTGCTTTTGTTTAGAGGGTTATGTAGAGCATATATCTTTTGTCTGCATGGACTAATTTTAGCTTGAATCAGTGACATTTTTATCAATGCTTCCAATCCAGAGAGAGAAATACAAGGAAGGAGAAAGATAGCCCCAGCCAAAGAGACTGGCAGAAACTGGGTTCTGCTGGAAGCTTGGAACTGTCATCTACAGCATTGGAAGAAAAAGCTTCAGTGGTCAAAATCTATGTTTTAATGAGTGTATACACACATACGCACACAGGAATGCATATCAAAATTGTGCTAACTCCTGATACTCATGTCCATATACTTTTAAAGAACTTTTTTTGCAAGTATAATGAGTGTTTTGAGGAGCTTCACTGTTGGTGTGATTAATCTGGGCCACCTTCAAGCTTTTGGAAGGTGCTGAGCATCCATTTGCTGAAGAAGGTGCCCGGTTTTGGTCTTTACAAGTAGAACATGCAGTGGGTTAGTCTCTCAAAATCACTAATCAGCCATCAAACCCCCAAATCTAGGGTATTGCTGACTTGACTACCTTAAGTGAGAAAAAGCAGAGCCTGTGTATTTTTAGCTTAATTTGCTCTTTCTGCTGTGAAAAAAAAAAAAAAAAAAAAAAAAAGGAGATGCTGCTCTGCAAGTGGATTGTATGTACAATAAATGTCAAGACTGCAGCTGAACACGGGGTTACATCTCCGTGAGGAAGTCCAGACAGTGTCTCAGATGTTGACAGAGTAGCTATAGGAGCTCATAAATGCCACTGGAGCCCAAAAATTCAATTACAGCTCTTGCACTGCATGAAGGGCTGTATGGATGAGCACAAGCGGGAAGAAAAATGGTTGCTTAAGTAGCAATGGAGGAAAAATTGTTCATGAACTGGATACAGTAGCATGGAAAAAGGAATGTGGAGGAGAAAGGAAAGGCAAGACAAGGGCAAAACTGGGGGCAGAGAATCCACATGTGTCTGTGTCTCAGGATACAATCTATGTTTTTTTAATGAGTTGCTCTAAAGGAGCGAGCAGTGGAACTAATGCAACCAAATCAAGCCCATGTGTGTGCAGGATGTGGTGCTCAGGAAAGTGTTCATGGCATCCTCTCAGCCAGGCAGAGCCAGGGCAGACTGCACCCAGTGCCTTCCAGTACAAACAGCCCAGCACTGCTCATTTGCTCACATTCCATGATCCAGGTGTCCCCAGATCCCTTCTTAGGGCTACCTGCAAAAGGAGCTGGGTGATTACTGCCCTCAGTTCAATAGCACATGGAGGTAAATGTGTTATCAGGTAGGAACTCTGCTTTTCTGGCTTTTTTCTTTACTGTTCACATAGGACTGGATGGGCAGCAGCAGCTTTTGCATTTTCCTCCTACTGCACAAAGGAGGCTGCAGTTTTGAGTCCTGACCCTTGAATTCAGAGTAGCCATTGCCTTCAATGGAGGCAGGATTTCACTCAGCCAGGCTGCTGCAGGGGCCATTGGCTCACTCTCCTTGCCTGTTCTGGTATCTTCTCCTTTGCCTTTGGAATTGTACTGTCTCACTTTTGTCAAAATATCTTAGTTTAAAGCCTGTGGCTTTGGTCTTACTTGACCTTCCAACTACTGCTGCATTTCATAGAGATGTTTGGTTGGAAGATACCTTACAGACCATCTAAAGACCTAAAGACCATCAGTTCTAACCTCCCTGTCATGGGCCCACTGACATTCAGTTCAGTGTCCTGCTTGTTCTTTGCATTGCAGCCAAGTTTGCAGGAGGCTGGTCCACCTCTTTCTTTTTTTGGACTTATCTGCTGCACTTTCCTCATCTTTCTTTGTCCTGTCTTTAGCCTGATTTTTCCCCATGTCATCCACACCAACCACTCTTGGATCAGTCTCCAAATAGTTTCCAGTCCAGCTTTGACCAACTTTACTTTAGGAGATTGGCTGGAAAGGGCAATTCTAAAAGCACTGTGCAGGGAAGTGAAGCCTTTTAGCTACAGAGATCTTTTGGGGCTGAATGTCAGTGTCTCAGCTGGCAGAAGCTGTTACAGATCCATCTCTGGGTTCAAGGGAGTAAAACTCATCTTAGGAACTGACTCCATCCTTGAGCTCACTCAAGACACCCAGCAGACACTGCAGAGTAGAGCTGGCCTTGACACTGATGCTTAGTTCACCTTTACACATTTAGTGCACCAATAAACCAGGATGATTCAGCCCAGGGGAATGGCAGTAACAACATTTATCATAATTACACGTCTAAGTAGTCCCATGAACCAAAAAAAAAAAAAAAAAGGGAAAAAAAAAAAGGAGGTGGTACATAAACAAGATGACCTAGTTTGAAAGGCATTGTGTATCCTTTGGAGTCTTGTTATATCACCTCAGAAATGTGGCTGTGCAGGACTCATCCTGTTGGTGCACTGACTCCAGCTCTGCCTGTGGAGCACAGGTAGGTATTTTGGTGGTCTGGGCAGGGAGCCAGCACTCTTGCCTTAGATAAGCAAATGAATTCTATGAATAAATAATGTGCATTTTTGCCATGCTGCCAAGCCTCCCATTTCAGCTGGGCCACAGCACAGGGCATATAAAGTTTTGTAATCACCCTTATGCCTGGTGTGAAGGCAGTGGATGTGACAGCAAGATGCACTTACCTGCAGCTGGCTGTGCAGCAGCCCCGTGGGAATCAGATTTAATTCTGTGGGCTTCTCCCTTCCCTTCCAGACAACTCCAAAACACTGCAGCAAACCCGCATTCTCCATGTGGGCAAATGCCTTGGCAGCAGCAAATCCATGGTTTAAATTCCTGATTGCCCTGGGGAGAGGAGACAGGAGGGCATGGAAGTAAAAACTCGGGCACTCCAGAAGCTGTTGTGGTGTGAGCACGGAGAGGCCGTGCGTGTTCTGTTCTTTGAAGGGTTTTTTTACTCCATCATTTCCTTTCTCTCTGCAGAAAACCCCGAGCGGGCCGCGCTGTATTTCGTGTCCGGAGTGTGCATCGGACTGGTGCTGACGCTGCTGGCCCTGGTGCTCAGGGTGTCCTGCCGCACGGACTGCAAGCGCTCCTCCTCCAAAAAGCCGCCCCGGGAGCGGGAGAGCGACAGCGACAGCAGCGACAGCGACGACGACTCGGACACCACGTCGGACCTGTCTGCCCGCAGGCACCGCAGGTTCGAGAGGACTTTGAACATGAACGTGTTCACCTCGGCCGAGGAGCTGGAGCGGGCGCAGCGGCTGGAGGAGCGGGAGCGCATCATCCGCGAGATCTGGATGAACGGGCAGCCCGACATTCCCGGCACCAGGAGCCTCAACCGCTACTACTGAGCCGTGGGGCTCCAGCGCTCCTGCCCTGCTCCCGGGGCTGCCCCACACCTCGGAGGGGAGAGGGAGGGAACAACACAACACGGGCATCTCCCCTTTCCCGGCAGGTGTGCCGCCTGGAGCGGTGCGGATGGACGGCCCTGACGTTTTCCCCATCTCTGTCTCCCTGACATTTTGGTATCACCCCTTTTCCCGGACACTTTCTGGTTTCGAAGAAGTGATTGCCAACTTCATTTCCGAGTAGCAGGCAGGGAGGAGACAGTGGCAGCTCCCCATGTGGGATGTGGCATTGGGCACTCCGTGATGTGAGTGCTCCTGGCCTGGCTGGACAGGGAGGTTCTCCAGGATTTGGTCTCCACTTAGGATTTTGTGGTTTCCCTTTCCTGAGGACTGCGGGAGAATTGTGAACAAAATGACAACTCTGGAAAGATGATTTGGGGAGGGCGGGGGAGTTGCATCCTGACCGATTGTCTTGTGACTTCAGAAGCCATGAGATTAGCCTAATTAAAACCCAACAGCAAATAGGACTTGTTAAGAACTGGGGGATGGGAGGGAGGGGGATTCTTCCATCGTGAAATCATCTCGGTGCTTGGATGTTTGCCATAGTGTATTCAGTTATTTATGGCTGTCTTTTCATCTTCCTTTTCAATGGGAACATTTAGGTTTTTTACTGACACCTCAGGGATAAAATCCTATTATTTTTTTGAGTCTGCTCTCCCTGCTGGCCCCTGTCAAACACAGTCCAACCCATCTCCAACAGTGAAATTCTGGTAATATAAGAGATGTGTCAGTCACTAGTGAGAACTTAACAACCTCAAAGAGGTTGAAAAAGGTTTTCTTTTTTGTTTTAAATATATATATATATATTTGAAGATGCTGCACAGGAATGTGCCTTATTATTTTTTTTGTTTTGTTGTTGTTGTTAAATTACAGTTTTCCTATGGATAGCAATGCACAATGTTTTATATATTTTATTAAAAAAATAAAATTAAAAAAGCCTGTGTTTACCAGAGGAAAACCAACACAGAAAAAGCCATGTCTAACAACAAAATGGGTAATAAATGCTAAATAAACTCTGGTTTGCTTCAATACAATTGAATTTGCATCCTCACTTTTGGCATAGGTGTTGCTTGAGGGAGATCTTTGTAAGAGTAGCACACCTCTGCAAGCAATCAAGGCTGATGTTTTCTGCATGCAGGGAACTGGCAGCACTTTTTTTTTTTTTTTTTTTTTTTGGCTGCAGCCCATCTATCAACTTCTGTGATTAACATGGGCAAGGATAGCTGAGCAACAGGTTGGTTACTCAAGGGGTCACCTCAATGTGATTTCATGAAGCTTTGAGTCTGTCCCCCATACTCACATCATATCTGGGCCAGAAGCAAATGTTAAATGAACTTAAAAAAAAAAAAAAAAAGAAAAAGTGGAAGAACAGGTACAATATTTCAGTGCTTCTTCAGTTGTCCCCTGGAGTTTTCAATGGGCTCTCACCACCCTCTTCACTCCCCAAGCAGCAGTTCACGTCACCTCAGCTAAAGAACTTGGTGTTTCTCACATCTGCACGGTGCTGCTGCAGCCTGCATGGCTCTGGGGTCTGCTCCTCTGTCATTTGGGCATGGAAATATTATTTCCAGAACCTTAAGGGTTTGCAAGGAAAATAAAGATCCAAGGCTCTGACCACCCAGAGCTTTTCCCAAGCTTTAAGGAGAGATGGAAATGGGTGGACCTGCCCACGAGATGACTGAGGATGTTATAAGGGACTGTGTGCTGTGCCAAACAGCTGCATGGTGGGACAGACCCCTGGCACTTGGGGCCTTCTTGGCACTCTTTGGGGCCACTGGGGCTTTCCCCTTGATAAGGAAACCTGCATTGGGAGTGCCCACAAATACTCCTCGTGGCTCTGGCAGGCTGAGAGCAAAGCTGAGTACCTGCAGCTGGTGGCACTGGCACTGGCTGTGGTCAGGCTGGCTGCTGAGACCTGGCTTCACTTGGGGAGGCAATTTGAGCACTGTGGAGTGATTCTAGGTCTGGTCCTGTGAAGATTTGAATGGAAAGGCTCAGTGATGGAATGGAATGTAATTTTTGCATCTAATATGTAGAAATAAAGCAGGAGGCAGGTCCCAAGGCCTAATGCATTGCCAGGTGCTTTAGCTGGAATGTTGAACACACTCTGCTGAGGGTGTTGAGGAGCAAAGACAGGGAGAGGTCAGTGGGGTCAGTTCTGTTGGCCATGTGTTTTCCCCTACAATGATACAGTCCCTCAAACCTGGTGATTCAAGGACAGCGTGTTTTCAGATTTAGAATGCTCTGTCCTGGGACATAGCTTGCAAAACTGATTTTAAAAATATTATGAATGAATGGATTTATGTGTATGATTTTCCCAAATGACTTTTTTCTTGACCAGAGGAAAGAACAACTGTGGTAAATCTAAGTATACCTGATACGCAACTGTGGGATTAAAATATCTGCTTCAAATGTAAATCACAGCCAAACTCGAGTTGCAAATGGATGAACAGTCCTCCCTTAGCATTGCTAGTGCTGCTGTAAATCTTCCAGATGAATTTGAAATAAAAAAGGAGCAGAGTTTAGCAGACAAGCCCATCACAGCCTTGCGCTAGGTAAAAAAATGTAATACAAGTAGTCTCATTGTCTTCACACCACAAACAATACCTTCATGTACTTTCTAGCTCCTATTTTGTCTCAGGGACTTGCATTTCTAAGAAAACTTTGACTAAAGACTGCAATCCTTTGAGCTATGAAAAGACTTTAAGTCATTGGATAACTATTTCTCAGTTTGTCTCAAGTCCTTAATAATTTGTCTGAGGGACAAAACACAACCAAAATTCGTGGGGCAGGAGTTTAGTGGTTTGCCTACAGCTCTAGCAATGGAGCAAAACCAGTCACCTGGAGTATGGAAGTGCTGGATTCACTGGGGATGGGGTCAATCTGTATTTCTTACCCTGCAAAAGAATATCTTAAGCATATGGAGGTTTGGACTTGTCTGGTTTCCACCTTCTGTGTTGTGCTCAATGTGAAATATTAAACACTCATAGAGGCAGGGAGCAGAGAACAGCTGCTTTTCTACCTGCTTACTGTGAATCCCTCTTGTAGGAGGTTATGCAAAGCTCCACTCTCCTACTTCCATGTTTAATTCATTTTTTACATTAAAATGAAATATTATTTCCAGAATAACACTTTTCAAATTCCCCAGGGCAGATAAAGGAGTTGAAATCAATTTTTCCTGTTTCTTGCATGAAATTCCTAATCATAGACCTTTTGGCTAAAGAGATACTGAATTCATTTTCCACGTGGATCTGTTTTTTGTGCCTCAGTTTAACTTTAGAATTTTATAACAGGGGATAACAGAACAATCCTGGACTTGATCACAGGGGGAAGTCATAAATATATGATATTATATTTAAAGTAGAGCATTGCATTTGCCATGCGCCATCTGCTGGGCCCGAGGCTTGGGACAGGGGAGCCTCGAGCAGTGAGGTGCCTGTGCTGGACACTTCCACACCTCTTGCAGCTGCAGAATATTGGGATTAGTGACCACAGAGCCATGCAGCTGTACCGTGTTGGCTTAGTAAATGAGTGTGATGGGTTGGAAACCTGAGGGTCGCACTCCTGGGGGAAGATGAGCACATGGAAGCGATGGGTCAGGTTTTCAGGGCCTCAACTGCATGTTCATTATCCTCCTGGCTGGTGGGGCAGATGGAGCTGGTTACAGAAGTCATGGCTGTGCATGGAGAGGTGGCAGAGTGAAGGTTGCTCCAGCCAGACCACCACCCTGGTCTCCTTCTCTCTTCCCATGTCCCCTGACTTCTCAGGGCCATTTTCCCCTCCTGCCACCATCCGGCCATCGGCACTGACCTCCTTTGTGGACCTGTGTTCAACGTACCCTGAAAATCTCAGTAATATGGTGTTTGCTGCCTTTCCCATGTCCACCCTGGTGTTCATATCCTCGATGAATTCCAGCTGGTTAATGCAGCATGCCTTTCCCTTCCAGAAACCACGGTGCCACTACTTAACCCCTTGCCTGCCATCCCTCCCAGCACCCCAGGGGCTACACAAATAAAATGAGCTCCCTGAGCCATGGTATTGCCAGGATGTACAGCATATGCCTGTGGTGCTGCAGGGAATCTGAATTTCCTTTTGTGATGCATGGAGTGTCTCAAGTTTCTGGAGGTGTCACATGCAATTAATCATCTAAGATTGGCCCAGAAATTCTTCTGCTCAGAATCATTGTGGAGATTTCATAGTGAAGTTTTAATAATCTGATCTGAATTTCTAGTGTCCTTAGATACCCCAAAAAAATAATTCCCAGTGTTTCTTGCCTTTGCTTGTACACTCATTAGAAGTGGTGCAGCTTGCTCCTTCACACAATTTCCTCTACTTTTTGTGGTTGTCTCAAGGGCTGTCAGTTAAACACAACCAATCAAAAAGGCAGAAATGGTTTTGGTTCTTCACAGGGCAGCTCACCACTGTGTGCTTTCCTACACCCCTGAGCTGAAGGCGCTCTCTTACTCTGAGCGATGTGTGGTTTAGTAGTATTTAAACAAATATTAAAGCACATCGGTTTCTTTGGGCATTTGCAGTTGCTGGGCACGGAATGGATCTGTTCCAGTGACAGTGATGTAATGTCACCATTGGGATTATTGCACCAGGGAGCCTGGGGCACTGGGGTGATGTCACTGGGAAGGATGTGAAGGCTGAACCATGACCATGGAAGCTGCTTGGAGGGGTGTGTGCCATGGGTGCTCTGGGAAGTGCGCTCTGGGGGCACACTTGCTCATGTCATGAGGGCCAGTCATTTCCCCAGGTAGGTCTCTCCAGATGGATGGATGGCTTTGTCCTCAAAACAAACTCGAGTGCAACTGGCCCATTATTTCGCCTGGGAGGTCTGTGTTTGCTGAGGGGAGGGATAAGATACATTCCTTGTTCAGGCTCCTGGAAATATGGACGGAAGACCTTCAGAGTCAGGTTTAATGGATGTCAACATTGATTCTCTTTTCCCTCTGTCTGATCACTGGTGGGGAGCTCAGGAGGGTCCCCAGAAGGAGGGAGGTGCTGCACCCATGTGCTCCACACTGAACCTCTGATCAGATCCATTGATGGTTGGGAATGAGGGACAGGGGACTCCTGCTGCTGATTTATCACACCTGTAACCTCCAGACAAAGCCCCCTGGTGCTGAGGCTTCACCAGGAGCCAGGGGAAAGGGGCCATTCTTTGATGCCAAAGGCTGTTGACACAGGACTGGGGCACTGGGGTCAGGACCATGAGCATGGCCAGGCAAATGTGACATCCACCACTTCTACTGCAACCTGACAGAAATGCCAAGGTTTCCTGGTCTGCTCCTCTGGAACCAGGACCTGAGGGACATGAGGAACAATCTGATTTTTTGGTGCTAAGAGAAGTGTCTGCTAGAGAATAAACTAATTTGGGGAGTGGGAGTAGGCTGGTGATAAGTTGCCCACCTACGTGTATGTGTCAGTGTCACACTGTGCACTTGCAAATATGTGGCTGCTTCCCAAACCACTCAGGACTGTCAGAGTCATCCAGAAAACATTTCAAAGTCAGAGAATCATATAATATCTTGAGTTGCAAGGGACTTAAGGATTATCAGAGTCCCACTCCTGGCTCTGCACAGGACACCCTACAAGTCACACCCTGTGCCTGAGAGCATTGTCCAAACACTTGAGCTGTTGCTGTGACCACTGCCCTGGGGTTCCAGTGTTCCAGTGCCCAACTACCCTCTGGGAGAAGAACCTTTTCCTAATGTCCACCCTAAACTTCCCCTGACACAAATTCAGACCATTCCCCTGGGTCCTGTCATTGTCACCACAGAGCAGTGATCAGTACCTGCCCTTCCTTTTCCCCTCACAAGGAATTTGCAGTGAAGTCTCCCCTCAGTCTCCTCTTCTCCAGGCAGAACAGACCAAGTGACCTCTGCTGCTCCTCCTAGGCTGAGAGCCTTCGCCAATATGGATGCATTTTTAATTCCAGAAATTCACCATCTGATTGTATGTCTTGTTGCACCTGCTTTGTCTTTTCACCTTCCACCCTAATGAAAAAATGAATTAGTAAAACTAAAGCCTCAGGATCCCTTCCAAGGTATAAGCAAATGCCTAGGTCCTGTGCTACCTGTTTTCTGCTAGCTGCTGAGGGAACATTGAGTTATGGCACTGGAATGGACCTTGGCTTCTGATAGTTCATCTGCCATTCTTCTGTTGAAAAACTTGTGGACTGGGGGGCAGGGGTGGTGGTGGAAGGGAAAAAATCAAAACCTGGATTTGAATATTTTTTTCTGTCTAAGGACATTGGTTGAGCAAAGCTGGGTGGCTGAGAAGGAGAGGAAATCCTCTGAGCTTTAACAGGGGAAATGCAGTCTTAGGGGGAACCTGTTTCTGCCAAGGCTTTGTGTTCTTTGCCAAATGCAGTCATTGCCCCTTTGGCACCTCCTGAGATCTTCAATCATTTCTCCTGCATAAGTTTATGTTTCTGAAGCAAAAACTTTCTGAGGACAAAGAGTGACAACAGATGGGGAAAAAATGTCAAGTTTCTTTGAGCTATTAGAAAACATATTTCCTTTTTCCCTTTTCATTATGACTTCAGGAAGAAATATAAGCTATAAGGATGTGATGGAAATTGTCATTTAAATGCCCTGAAATAGGACATCTAAATGAAAGGTATCTTTCTTTGCAGTTTCTGCCAGAGCATTCACTTAGCTTGTTTATTTTCTGGTTTGGAGTCTGATGTTACTCTGTATCATGAGTGAAACCAAAACTCCCCATGGCACTTTCTGGGGATGCGGTGCCATGCTGGAAAAACATCCTCTGGCTTTTGAAAAGGCAGTAATTTGTACATTCCATTTCTTGCAAAAGTCTTTGAAATTCCCTTTTATGAGGAATGGTCCTTTCCTCATTTCTGGTGTGAGGGGACTTTTTAAATGAATTGATTGTTTAGAAGGGACAGAAGTAGTTCTTTTCCCTTCTGCATTTTTGAAGCCTCTAGACCACCCATGATCATCAGAGCTCAGAGGCATCTGATGGTTTTTCAGAACTGTTCTTTGTATTAATTTCATTCTTTGCTGGCTGCTCTGAAGTAACAGACCCAACTGGACCTCTGTGCGTTGCTCTTTCATGCCACAGCTCTCCTGGGTCTGAGTTCCCAAAGTGATTACAGCACCAGCAATGTATCTGTGCATTCCTCGCATCTTTTAAAGGACAATTTAAGAGAAAAAGTTCAAGAGTGATCAAGCAAACCAATGTGAGTTAGAACAGGTGACTTTGCATCCAAACCTATGCAGGATTTTTCTCCTGGAACTGGAAGTGGTCTGGCAATGACAAGTTTTCTTCTGAGAAAAAGTAATTGCTACTGATAGCGCCTTGAAGACAATACATTTCCCCAAACAGCAGTTCCAGAGGATGCTTTTCTTGGGAGGGAAGGTCTAGTGCTGTCTGACAAGACCCTGAAAACTGCCACTCACAATCTTGGAGTGCTGCTGAGACTCCCCCGGTCC